GCCTGGCATCTCTCGCCCGTGTAGAAGAATATCTGGCTTGTGGCGCACCTGTGGACAAAAGCCAGGGAGAAAATTCAGGTTATGAGACACACCTGGTTTCCCCTCAACGTGACAGTTCTCAGCCGCTTAAAGAGAAAGAAGAAAAAGAAGAGATTGGATTTATACCCCGCCCTTCACTCGGAGTCTCAGGGCGGCTTACAAACTCCTTTCCCTTCCCCCTCCCCACAACAGACACCCTGTGAGGTGGGTGGGGCTGAGAGAGCTCTTGACAGAAGCTGCTCTTTTTTCAAGGACAGCTGTGCCAGAGCTTGTGACTGACCCAAGGTCACATCAGCAGGTGCAAGTGGAGGAGTGAGGAATCAAACCTGGTTCTCCCAGATTAGAGTCCGCACACTTAACCACTACACCAAACTGGCTCCTAAATGTCTCCTAAAAAAAGTCGAGAGCCTCTCTAGAGCAGGCCTGTAGCCAGAATTTTGTGGCTCGTGGGGCAATTGTTTTTTTTGGTGGGGCTGCCACTGGGGGGTGAGTCCCAGAGAAAGAGGGGGGGCTTACTTCCCTGTAAATTCATCAGGAAAAGGATCAGAGGGTTTTCTAGTGTCCCTTTGATGGGTTTTGTAGTCTAGCCACAGTGGGTTTGTAGCCCAGGCGCAGTGTGGAAAAAGAAGCTCCTCTTTGCTGTTGAATCCCTTAGCGTGTAATGATCAGGACCCCCTTTCCTTTTAAAAAAAGGGTTTTTAAGGAGCATTCTGAGGGGCTGTGCCTTTAAGAGAGGGGGCGGAGCCCTGAATAGCCCCACTGTAGCAACAGGCCTGCTCTAAAGATGGTCTGGTGATAACGTTAAAAGTGAGCTGAAAAGAGAGGCCAGAGGTCTGGTGTGGTGGAGGGAACAGAGTGTTAGACAAGGCCTTCAAGTCCCCACGGGGTGGGGGGACATGGCCTCCTTGGGGGAAGAGTGGAGGGGGAAACGAAGGCTTTTCTTGATACCTCCCTTTACAGTTGCATCATTCCCCCAGTAAAAGATTGATCCTTTTTATCCTTCAATGGAAATCCCGATTGGCTTTACAACACCCGGCAGCAGGAGGCCCGTACGGAACCCCTGACCACTGCGGCAGCAGAGGCGCTACAATAACATAAGATCAAATGTCGAAGAGTGGGGAGTCCAAGACTTGGGCTTTTGGCAGAACGAAGAAAAGCATCCTGGAAAATATTCTGTGCTTTACGCCACATCCCAAACGGTGTGTGACTCGGGTTGTCAGGTTCCCTGGTCACTCTGGGGGGGGGGATTTGGGGGTGTTCTGGGGGTAGGCAGGGATGCCCCAAGCCCCGCCCCCAAGCCCCACCCCCAGGAGTGACCACTCACCTGGCCACCCCTCCTGCCCGATTTAAAGGGCTTCAGCTGGTCGGCGGGGACCACGTGGCCCGCCGACCAGCTGGAGGGTCCTTTAAATTTAGCAGGAGGGAGAGCGGTGGCCAGGTGGGTGGTCGCTTTTGGGGGTGGGGCTTCCCCTGCCAGCCAGCTGGCTGGGGGGGATTAAAGCCCCCAGAAGCGGGAGAAGCCCCTGGGGGCCTGGCAACTCTATCTATGACTCTGTCTCTGCAATGACGTACTTCTAGCCCTATTGCTCAATCCAACACAACCGCAGCGCATAAAAGCAAAAAGGCAGTTGGGGAAATGGCCTAGGATGGATACCTGCAGTCGGCTCTCTCGTGGTCACTGACACAGACGCCATCGTTTTGGCAGGGATTTGGGTCACACGGTTCGCTCAGGGCGGTCGCCGAGTCTTCCAGCGGGGCCAGTCTTTTCCTCCGCGCCGGGGGGAGGTTATGAGAGCGGTGCCAGGTTTGCGGAAGGGAACGCTCCGTGTCCTTGAGATGCGTTAGGTCTTGTCCACAGAGAGAAACAGGCAGGGGGCGATCACATGACAGACATCGTCAATCAGAAAGGAAATGGATGCATACAATTAAATGGCAATTGGCATGATGCCGTGTAATGCTGATTGGATTTAAATGTTTATGTTGCATTAAGAAGAGGAAATATTCAAAACATTGAACAACAGCGGAGCTAGATACAGTTATACAGGAGCTTATATAGGATGCTAAGAGGATTACATACGGTGAAATAGTTCGTAATACTTTTTGGGAACGCTGAATTTAGATGACTCAACATTAAATATAAACTCAAGAAAGGGAAACCATTTCAGATGAAGATTAGAGTTCTTATGGTAATGGTTTGCATTAGCAAATGCATCAGAAATTTTATCCATAATATAGTAATCCCATATTTTCAAACGCCAAGATGATAATAATAACTTGTTGGGGGATTTCCAATGACTGGAGATGACCACCTTAGCAGCCATCAGTAAGACTGTATAACTGTATCTAGTTCTGCTGTTGTTCAATGTTTTGAATGTTTACTGTTTTTTAAAATAAAAAAATAGTTAATTTAAGAAGAGGAAATTATTTTTAAACACAATTGTAACCAGGGCTCTTTTTGTAGAAAAAGCCCAGCAGGAACTCTTTAGCATAATAGGCCACACCCAACAGCAGAAACTCATTAGCCTATTAGGCCACACCCTGACAGCACCGCTCATTAGCACATTAGGCCACACCCCCATGTTACCAGAAGTGTGGTCATCCAGCCACACCCACTTTTCCCTTCTTATTCTGTTTACCTTGTTTGTTGTCAAAACCCAGGGCCTTTTTTTGTAGCAGGAACTCCTTTGCATGTTAGGCCACACCCCTAATGTAGCCAATCCTAATGAGTTTCTGCTATTGGGTGTGGCCTATTATGCTACCGAGTTCCTGCTGGGCGTGGCCAACTCAGGAGCCAGCCGGAACTCCGTTCCTGTGCGTTCCTGCCCAAAAATAGCCCTGATTGTAACTACACACACATTTGTTTTGTAGAGAAACCACTATTACTCAATGGGGAAAGAATGAACAAGTAAGACACCGAGTCAATCTAATAAGATCGTAAATGGTGCCCTGCTGGGTCAGACCACTGGTACATCTAGTCCAGGGTCCTGTTCTACACAGTGGCTAACCAGGTTCCTCGCAGGCAGGGTTGCCAACTTCAGGTCAGGAAATTCCTGGATGTTTGGGGGTGGAGCCTAGCCAGGGTGGAGTTTGGGGAGGGCGGGGACCTGAGCAGGGGTGTGATCCTCCCCCTGAAGCCGCCATTTTCTTCCAGAATTACAACTGATCTCCAGACTGCAGTTCCTCTGGAGAAAATGGAAGTTTCAATGGGCGAACCGTAGATTCCAGGTTCAGTCCCTCCCTGGATAAACCCCTCCAGAAGCACTGCCCCCCAAACCTCCCCCAGGCTGGAACTGGCCACCTTCCCTGCTTCTCAGGTGGCAAAAATTAAGATCTGTGTGCTCTCCCACCACCCAGTGCAGCAGTATGAAACTCTTCCTCAAGTGTTGGGCGTATACTTGAAACTTTTCTTAGAGAAAACTGTGATAGTTATAATTTTAAATTCCATAGATATGCCAAATAGTACGATTGTACACAAATAATGAATTTGATGTTGTTCAATCAGTTACAGAAATTTAGATTTAAGAGGAGGAGGAGGAGAAAGAAGAAGAAGAGGAGGAGGAGGAGGAGGAGAAGAGTTGGTTTTATACCCTGCTCTTCAGTAATTTAAGGCATCTTGGAGAGGCTTACAATCTCCTTCCCTTCCCACAACAGATACCTTGTGTGGTAGGTGGGGCTGAGAGAGTTCTGAGAGAATTGCTCTTGAGAGAACAGCTCTGAGAGAACTGTGACTGACCCACGGTCACCCAGCTGGCATCATTTGGAGGAGTGAGAATCAAATCCCGGTTCTCCAGATTAGAGTCTGCCCCTTTTAACCACTACACTAAACTGGCTCTCTAGGAAAGTAAGTCTTGTATATATTTAACATTTCCCCCAAATTTTCATTTTTTCTTTCTACATATGAGTAATTTTTAAAATTGCGTTTAGGTAATTTTTTTGGTGTTCTCTTTCTTGCTGTGCCCTTTGCGGATAGGTTAGAAAACAAAATAAAAATAGATAAAATGGAGAAAAAGTATTTTGTCAAAAGATGAGGCTTTCATACCTTCAAAGTCTACAAGGATAACAAGGACATCGTTTTTCAGATAATTCCTTTGTCTCAACAGTTCGTGCGTGGCGAAATTACTCCATCCCCAATTTTTACCCCTGCTACAGTTGCAGACAGGATCAAATTTTCCATGAATAGAGGGATTCCCCCACCTGGAAGTATCAATCTTTCCTGCAAAATATCACAGATTATGTTACACTTATGGTTGTCTTCTGCAAATACTCCAGCAGAGTATATAAACTATCTGCACATCATAATATTCTGGGTTGCCCTAAACAGGGAGCGAAAAACATCCCGCCTAACCTCATTCCATTAAAAACGAAGAAGAAGAATTCAGGTGGCAATCGGAACTGTTCCCCCCAAATGTTAGAAAATAATTCTTTTATTCTAAGCCAGCTCAGAATAAAATTGTCCCAGCTGCCTTTATGGAGTTCAAATCAAACAATGTCATTGAATTAATTTATTTAATTCATTTATGCCCCCAACTTTCTCCCCAAAGCAGCTTGCAGTGTTCTCCTCCCCTCCATTTTCTCCTCACAACAACCCTGTGAGGTAGGTTACGCTGAGAGGGTGTGACTGGCCCAAGGTCACCCAGCAAGTTTCAGCGCACAAGTAGGGATTCGAACCTGGTTCTCCCGGATACTAGTCCAACACTCTTAAGCGGAGTGCCATTTCAGCTGTGTCTAATGTAACCTCCAGGGATTGATTGGTTTAGCCAAGAAGGGGCGGAGTCACTGACCGGGCCGGGGAGGGGGGCTCTGCAACTTACCTGGCTGCTTTTTGCTCCTCATGGCCCAACTGAGGGCTGCTGAGAGCAGGGGGCGAGGCTTGTTGCATGTGCCCGCCTCCCTGGGCTCCTTACTGCCGGAGCTCCACTCCTGTGCGCTCCCGCGGGAAATGACCCCTGTCAGGGACCCACATATCTTCGGGACTGCCTCTTTCAACATGCCCCCTGGAAGAGTGTTACGCTCTGGGAATAAGAACCTTCTGGTGGCCCCCAGTCCAAGGGAGATCCAGCTGTCTTCCACCATGGCCGGGGCCTTTTCAGCCCTGGCCGCCACCTGGTGGAACTCTCTGCCAGAGAAGATCCACACATTTATGGGATTTACTATCATTCCGTAGGGCACGCAAGGCAGAGATGTTCCGTCAGGCATTTGTTTGAGAGCAGCGACGGTCTGGCACGCTTGTACCCCCACTCCCCCCACACACACTCCTCCACATCCCCTCCACTCTAAGAGGCTGGCTGGTTCTGAATTTCCCCCCGCCATCTCAGATAGTATGCTGATATGTTGTTCATGCTTTTAAGTATTGTACAGTTGTTCTTAATTTTATTATTTATTGTAGTTGTCTTCTGACGTAAGCTACCCTGAGCCCTGCTTGCAGGGAAGGGTGGCCTGATAAATCAAATTTAAGAAATAAATAAATAATTTGGGTCGGGACCCGTGTTCCCTCTGAGTTAGTGTGAGCTAGCTCACAGTTTTTTTAGCTTCCAGCTCACACATTTTTGTCTCGGCTCAGGAAGGATGGCTCCAGAGCAGTCTAATTTATGCAGCAGCCGAATCGCTTGCTCACCACTTTAATGCCAGTCGCTCACAAAGTAGAATTTTTGCTCACAAGACTTTACAGCTTAGAGGGAGCATTGGTCGGGACAACGGTATGAAGTGGGGGAAGGGATTAAACCCATTGCCTCCTGCCCAGTTTTCTTGCCCTGCCCTGTTGGGAGAACCTTGTCCTGTCAGTGGAATTTACATGTACCCCATCGGTCCATGTAACTTTTCCCTATAGGTAACTTCCTATTGGAAAGGGGATCTCTGGAGCTGTTTGAGGCGGAAGGCTAAGCAACATCTCCCCACACACACGGTCCCAGTTCGAACCAGGTGCTCATAGACTTGAGAATTAAATTTCAGCTTGGAACTCACAGTGTACAGCTATTTTCTCTGGTCTCAGAGTTTGCTCCGGAGCCCTCCTTCCTGAGCTAAGACAAAACTGTGTGAGCCGGAGGCTAAAAAACTGTCAGCTAGCTCACACTAACTCAGCTTAGAGGGAACACTGATTATGGATCCTTAGCATCTTCCATACGTTCAAGCCTGAGTATAACTCCTTGAATGACGCACTTCAGCCGATTAGGAAAGGAAGTCTGCGGTCATCCACGCTGACAAATAGAAGACCATTTCTACAAACTTGCTTCTCAGATTCTGATGTCAGAAGTCCCGTCAAAGAAAAATATTTTTTTAGAGAAATGGTTTCCCTTTTTTGAATATGTCTCTAAGTCAGGGAACAAAAGCTGTATCTTGCCTAAGAAGTATGTTAATGTTATAGTTCAGTGGTGGCGGGTGCCAGAGGTGGCACGCAGAGCCCTCTCTGTGGGCACGCGGGCCATCGCCCCAGCCAGGCCCAGACCATCATTAAAGTGTCGAATTCTCTGCCAAATAATTTCAAGTAAATAAAAGCATTTGGGATTGCTTTCCTTACTTTGTTTGGATCATCTTAAGTTAATGTATGAGTTGTTTTTTTCTAAAGTAAAACCTCAGTATTCAGGTTAAATTGCCGCGTTGGCACTTTGCGATAAATAAGTGGGTTTTGGGTCGCAGTTTGGGCACTCGGTCTCTAAAAGGTTCGCCATCACTGTTATAGTTTATTAAATAAGTGAACTCTGTTGTCATCTGTTATGTTACTTAAATACTTATTGTATTATTCACGTTTATCAAAGTTATATTTTCTTTTTTAGGTTGTTTTGTTGCTATATATGTTTGTATTAACGTTAGTTTTGTTTATATTGAAAAAGTTAATAAAAATGTAAGTTTAAAAAGAAGAAGAAGAAGTGCATTTCTTCCCTCGTTTTCACTCTGGCTTCCACTGTCATAACTGTTCTGAAGGCTACGTACCTTTCGGGACCCGAGTCCCCTCTGTTGTGAAGCTCCTTTCTATGGAGAGCCGCTTCCTGACGTCCGCATGTTGGTCCAGTATGGTGATGGTGGCCTGTCTGTTTAGAGCCGGCCATTCAAGAACACCGTCGTTCTCTCCGCTGGTCAAGTGAAAAGAGATGCCGGTGTAGGTTTCAGAACCCGAACCACCCAAGACTCTTAGAGTCAGACCGTAAGCGTAACCTTCGGGGCTATAAAAACGGGGACTCAACATGGTGTCGCCTGGAGCAGCGGTGTTGAGGAGATGTGTGAAGTTATTGATATGCCACACAGCATTCGGGCACCGAGTTTCGCTGAGAGTGACGTCATCGATGAGGATTCCTCCGGATGAGAGATCGGTTCTGCCTTTTTGCCCTTGGAAGAGATACCGGAACCTTTCTCGAACTCTTATGGGCACGTGGGCAATTTTCCAGTTCTGATCACTTTCTCCTATAAAAGGCAGACAATGTGATTCACACATGTGCCCACCAATGCTCCCTCTAAGCCGTGGAGTCTTGTGAGCAAAGATTCTACTTGGTGAATCTTAAAGTTGTGAGGGAGCGATTTGGCTACTGCGTAAATCAGCTTGCTCCGGAGCCATCCTTCCTGAGCAGAGACAGAAATGTGTGAGCCGGAGGCTAAAAAACGGTGAGCTAGCTCACACTAACTCAGCTTAGAGGGAACAGGGGTGGCCACTATTATTTTATTTATTTATTGCATTACATTTATTGATCGCCTAATCCCCACGACCGTGGGGCTCTAGGCGATGTACAAGATTCTAAAACCATAAAAACATATAAAAACCACATCCAGCATTATACAAGAATTAAAAGCAAGTGGTGAAAGATTTTGCAGTTCCCTCCCGTCTGGTCTGTGAGTGCTTCACATGCATTGGGGGGGTGGGGTAAGCTCCACAAGGAACTGGAGCCCAGGTAGGGAGACAGCCATGATGTCAACCATTGCTGTTCTCAACCAAACACCTGGAGGAACATCTCTGTCTTACAGGCCCTGCGGAATTACATAAGATCCCACCGGGCCCTGATGTCATTTGGAAGAGAGTTCCACCAGGTCAAGACCATAGCTTTCCCCACACATTTCAGATGTCTTTACTGAACAGGGTAGGGGGCATGGCTCAGTGGCAGAACATCTGTTGTGCAGGCAGGAGATCACATGTACAATCAGGTAGTAGGTGATGGGAAAGACCTCTACATGAGACCCTGGAGAGACACTGGCCCTGGCAGACCAGTGATCTAAGGCAGAGGTACACAACATGGTGCCCATGGCTACACAACATGAAGAAGAAGAAGAGATTGGATTTATACCGCGCCCTTCACTACCCAAAGGTGTCTCAGAGCGGCTGACAAACTCCTTTCCCTTCCCCTCCCCACAACAGGCACCCTGTGAGGCGGGTGGGGCTGATAGAGCTCTGACAGAAACTGCTCTTTTTCAAGGACAGCTCTTTTCAGAACTATGGCTTGCCCAAGGCCATCCGGCCAGGTGCACGTGGAGGAGTGGGGGATCAAACCCGGTTCTCCCAGATTAGAGTCCGCACACTTAACCACTACACCAAACACAGTGATCACACCTTTCCTGGTGGCTGCCAAGTGGGCAGGGCCCAGTGGAGCTTTTGCCCAGCAAGGCTTCTGATTCGCCATTGGCTATTTGATTGGCTGTGCAGATTTTTTTTAAAAAAAATGTTGCTTTGGCAGCAGCTGCCACAAGAATCTTCACTGTGTAACTGAAGATAAGCTGCGGCGGCCATTTTGTGGCTGGCTCTGCCTCCTCCGGCAGCCGTTTTGCGGCAGCCATTTTGTTGCTGTGTCCACCACACTGTGCCGGAATTCCAAAGGGGCCCACAGGCTTAAAATGTTGGGGACCCCTGGTCTAAGGCATATTTTCTGCATTTTCCCCCATGCTAGGAGGTTGGAGATCTTTCACTGGACGAAAAGGCAGTGTGGGAACAGCCCTAAATAATGAAAGCCTTCTGGGCTGCTATACTCAGAGGCCTAAATTATATTGTCTGTCTATCTGAGAGAAACCGAGATTTCCAAGCCACTTTCAGAATAACCTTGAAAAGTTTGAAGTTTAACCAGTTTGCGAATGGTTCCGGAGCTGTCGTCCTTCATTACCCAGATTACAAGCTTGTCGTCAGGGCTCCCAGTCGTTTTAAAGAAGAACTGGAGACACTGCTGCATCCTCCTCGGGGTCAGGATGCGAGATTTCAAGATGGCAGTTTCTCCTGCCTCCCCATAGCTGGTGTTGAAGAACATGAAGTAGCCACTGTCTGCAAAGAAGAGAGCGGATCTCTGCTCAGTCTCAAATTAGTGCGACTAAGGTACATCATGCATAGGTCATCCTGGTTTATGAGAAAACTAGCAGTAAAGCCCGTTGTGAAAGCAATACAACAAGCTCTAGAAAGATGTGATTTGTAACGAATGCATAGGCTGGAAGGAGGTAAAGTGGACAAGATGTTTACTAGAGCCACGCCATAGCCTGGTTCTGTCAGAAACCTTCCCTGTCCCCATCCCAGATAATTTGTGTTTACTTTCTCTGATTTTTTTTT